CTTACTTAACTATAGTTTGTAGTCTTGCAGAAAAATTCACTCGTTTCGAGCTCGTCCACATACCCCAAGATGAAAACATTGCAGTAGATGCTCTAGCAGCCTTAACTTCCACCTCGGACCCTGCAGTAATACGAATAATCCCAGTCGAAGGAATTGAAAAGCCTAGTATAAACCTAGCTCTCAAAACACCAGCTGTGAATGCTATTACCACATGACCATCAACCCGGATGCAAACGCAACAGTCCCAAGATCCAGGACCGTCCAACACAATTGGCCATCCCGAGGAGGATGAGTAAGCAAACAGTTTGTCTGAGGATGCATCATCGAACTCGGCCTCCTCTCAGAGTACGCAGGAATCAACAGTCTATACAGTACCTTCTGCACTCGCAGACGAATCAACCTTTAAGGATGAGTTTGTTGCAAGAGCTGACTGGAGATTACTTATCCTCGAGTACATCGTACATAGAGCAGCCCCTCCCAACAGATGGGAAGCTTGAAAACTCAGAGTAAAGAGTGCTCGGTATAGCGTGTTATTCGATGACAAGATATACAAGCGAGGACTATCCAAACCATACCTTAAATGCGTACACGGCAAGAAAGCCTACACCGTATTGTCCGACACTCATCAAGGCCCTTGTGGAAGTCATGCTAGAGGCCGAGTGCTCGTCATTCGAATCAAGAAACTCAGCTACTTCTGGCCAACCATGATAGCAGACTGCCAGAGATTGTCCAAAAGCTGTGACAAGTGTCAAAGGCACGCCCCAATTATTCACTGTCCAGCTGAAAGACTCTCGTCAATCTCGGCACTTTATCTATTTATGAGGTGGTCAATGGATATAGTGGGAACAATGGTTCCTTCGGGACCCAAACAATTCAAGAACCTGCTGGTCCTCACCGATTACATCACCAAATGGATAGAAGCTAAAGCTTATCAGCAAACAACCGAACTCCATGTACGCGGTTTCATCTGGATAAACGTGATTTGTCGTCACATACTTCCCTACAAAATCGTTACAGACAACAATTCACAGTTCATATCTCAGAACTCCAGAGACTTCTGCGCGAAGTGAAAGATAAAAATATCTTACACCACGCCTCGTTATCCTCAAGGAAACGGGCAAGCTGAAGCAACAAACAGAACCATCTTGAGTAACATCAAGAGACGGCTCGATGCCAAAAAAGAGAGGTGGTCCAAAGAAATGTCAGCCATACTCTGGACTTGTCGAACCACACCTCACAAAGCAACCAGCGAAAAACCGTCTCTGCAGAAGGTACAAGATTTAACATAGGGGACATGTTCCTGTGCAAGGTACAAGATTACACCAAAGAGCTCGGTGCTGGGAAATTAGGAACTATCTGGGAAGATCATCGAAGTAGTCTACGACGGTGTCTACAGGTTCACGAAAGTAAAAAAAAAGGGTGCCCGAGATAAGACCTTGGAACGTAATGAACTCAAGAAGTATTATTGCTGAGCACTTATATTAATCAAACTACGTCATGGCTTGACCCTTTACGAGGCACGTAGGCAGCTCGACCCACGAGTTCAGCCACTATTATCTATTATTCAATTTTTATTCCTCAGCATGAAAACATTATCAAGCGAGCTATACGCGACAATACTACTTTGTATCATCTCTCTCTTTTTTTATTTATTTAATATAATAACAATTGTAATTGTCAAAACCGAGATCACAAAGTAAAACAGTTCGGACCACTCTCGTCATACATTTATAAGCTGAAACACAATAAATCAGAAATCAAACTCGCGCTCTATAACTCGATCTTTAAGTCAAAGCACTCCAACCCTCCCACAACCCGATAACAAGTGAGTTATATCCCACCCGTACCTCACTCCTTGGGGGGGGAGGCTGAGCCACTTATCCTAGATGCCTTTCCCAAAAACACAAGGTACATTTTTTTCATTTCTCAAACTAACTAAGTCAGGAGTCTGACTCCACTTCAACAGGTGTGGTTAGGTTTATAACTTAACTCCAAGCATAGTCAAAGCTCCAGACCTCAAATCAAGGGGCTCAACGCGACTCGCAGTTCGCCAGGTACGACTGAGCTCTATCTTTGGAAACTAAGAGTAAAATGTAACCCCTTTCCTCATTTTAAAGCCAAAACTGAAAAAATTCTAGTTTAAAGGAAAGCAAACTCTACCTCGAACATGAAAACTTCATCATGAAGCAGTTCGACCTCCCATTTTGCCTAAGGAAATCAACTAAGTCCAAAGCCTACCTAAAACATTTAGTCGTATTTCTAAAAAAGGGCACTTCACTTACCAGATCATTTCGTCCGATCTGGCGAGCTTACAACCCAAAGAATCGAGCTGCAAGCTCAATGATCTCGGTCCAGCTCTCTTAAGTCAAAAATGACTAAGTAAAAGTCCTACTCAAATACCCAACAACAATGCATAAAAATCATTTATAGGCACCAACGCTCAAATGAATTAAAAAAAAACCCTTTTGAGCACGGATGAGTTCAAAAATAAAAGGATAAAACCCCTCTCGGGCACCAAAACAAGCGTAAAAGCCCGTCGGGCAACAATGTTTGAAAATAAAATTAAAATGGAGAAGGGACAATTCCTCAAGGGCTTGGCAGCTGGCTTGAAGAATGGCATCCTTGCGCTCATGGGTAAGAAGGAGGTTCTCCCTCTATAGATCGGTTGCCCGCTCAAAAGCCCGCACTACCTCGGCATGGGCCTCGAAGAGCTGTTCGGTGGCAATCCTGAGGAAGATGAGCCTCTTGGCCCTTAAACTGCCTGAGCAGGTTGGTCTGGGGGGCGACTTGTGCCTTTGCAACGTCAAGGTTAGACTTTCGTTTGCCGACCACCCTCCTGATCTCCTCGATCTCTCACGGGTGAGGGACATCATGCAACCTCTGCTCAAGACGGACATAAATCTGATTACCATCCTCTGCAGCATGCAAGATGTGGCAATCAAAACGTTAAGTACTTAACACTTAACCAGAAAAATACAAAAGAAAGAAGAACACTTTTTACCTTCCCATTGTCTGTCACCATCTCCACGTAGAGCTCCCTCTCAGTCATATTCTTAAGAGCGGGGAGCTGGCAGCCGCAGGCTTGAAGTGATGCCACATAGCCGCCATACCTTCAGGATCATCCGTGATCGAACGGTTCGTGGTGTGCTCAAACTTCCAGTGAAAAGGCCGAGTACCCGTCGAAGCACTACTCCCGGTAGACACTGTCGGATGAACTTACCTCTTCACTCATCAGCCTCTCCAAAGCAGGTTAGGAGGAATGCTCGAGCTCTTGGTCCCCAGCAGAGTTCTGGGTCTTGCCCGAGCTGACAGTTATCATCCCGGCCATCCGGGCAGGAGGGTCGGCCTGAGGGATCATCATCTACTTGACTTCCTCGTCACAGAGTTGGGGCGTGGGAGTGGCAGTTAATGCCAACGCAGCCTCTAGGGCCGCCTTTACACTCCTCGAGCAAACTCTGGGTTGGCTGGGACCAGCGGGGGCTTTTTCGGCTCTCTGACAGAAGGTTGGTTTGCGAGACATGGCTGAAGTCGTGCTTGCTGCCGAGCTGGAAGCCGCATTTGGAAGAGGAGGTGGTATTACCCCAGCAACTACAAAAAACAGTAATCACGTCAACACTGAAATTCACTAAGTAAAATCTTGTAGCTCTAGCACGACGAAAGCTTACCAAATTGAATGACCGGAGCCGAAACAGGTGAAGTAAGGACTCGCCGAACTTGTTCTCGTGTGAACGTACTCTAGATGAGGTCCCCTCGTCGGAATAATCCCAATTGGTGCTCTATGTCCACGTCTTGCAGTGCTTTAGATAGCTTGCCTGACAAACAAAACAAATGAAGGTCAGAATACCGACCAAACAAGGAATACAAGTTCTAGCTAGCAAACATATAAGCCTAGCCAAACAACCGCTGTCCGCGAATTTGACTGGCAGCCAAGTGAAATCGAAGCTCCAACGGATGCTTCGTAAACTCTAAACTTAAACCCTATCCTCTCCCATCCAGAGTCCTTCTCCGGACTCTGCTCGATAAACCGCCGGTTTGATCTCGGAGATGCATAAAAGTCCTGGGATGATGGGCGTTGTACTTGGCGGAGAAAAACACCCTGAGCACACCTATCAGCTGGACTGTTCATCTTTCCACGTCTGAGCCGTTGATCTTGAATGATCATCTGACACCATGACATCAGCACACTAGATGTGAAATCTTTTAAAAATAACAAGTCGCCGCCCATTAAAGCTCGAACTCATTCTCGTTATTGGGCTGTGGGGCAATTGTTAGAGCTGGATTTTGCACAATAAATCCGGCCCACTCGAGCTTAACAAGCAAGTCCAAACTAAGCATAAATTGAATGAGCCTCGTTCATACGGCCTAGACCCAATCCTTTGCAACAATCCAAGCCTGAACATCAGTGTTCCGCTCGACGAGGTCAAGCTCCAGCTCGACAAAATCCCAAGAAACAAGGAGGGATCTACACCAAGTCGGAGCATATTCCCACCAGTTTAAACGAGCCTGAGATTTTCGGGATAGATTGTTGCACGTGGCTGAGATGCGCGTTGGAGGTTGAAGCTCGACGATAAGAATATAAAAGAGACAAGCTGCTTAGTTTAGGGAGGATCTTTTTAATACTTTCTGAAATTCGAAAACTCTGTAACCGCTCTTCGAGCTCTTTTCACTTCATTTCTTTCAGAGAAATTTTGTAACTGTTTTATTTATCCTATTAATATCAAATCTTTATTTTGATTAATATTTGCTTGTACTGTCAATCTGTTTCAAAAAATCTAATCTTTAATTATCTTAAAATATTTTTCTTATCAAAATACATAAATTTCTAAATATAAATTTCTGTATTCACAAAATTGTAAAATATTAGTATTAAAAAAAAAATTAATTAATTTTATAACGATGTCATTGAGAATTGGATTTGGGAGAGTGAGCTAGTGCTTTTTCTCTTAGGGAAAATATCGCAACAAGTCACAAGCTCCGCCAAGTTCTAGGCTCCTTCAGAGATGAGCGCCATCGCCTCCGCCTCCGCCTCCCTCAGTCTCCGGCATCTTCGCAGCTTCCCTTGTGGTGTCCCGTCTCTTCTCTTCTCATCGTATTCCTCCATCTCATTTCATCACCCCTCTCCACGCCTCTGCTTCTTCCTCCGCCGCAACTTCCGCCGTCGCCAACTCTTCGTCAACCGTCCCTACGCTGCAAACTGCAGTTCATCACCAGGTTACAGCCACTACACTTTCATCTCGAGTATCTTAATTTGCGATTGCTGTTTTGCACATTCCGCTTATACGGGTAAATTCTCTTAGGTTATACCTCTGGTTCGAATTACGACGTTATTGTGGTTGGAGCGGGACACGCTGGATGCGAAGCGGCTTTAGCCTCTGCTCGATTGGGAGCTAGTACTCTGCTTCTCACATTAAACCTCGATAGAATAGCTTGGCAGGTTTGACTGTTTTTTCATTATTAGTTACCTTTTGTGTGTACATACTTCTTACAATTGTGGGAAGATAACATCTAGAAATGTATTGTTATTTGAAGCCTTGTAATCCAGCAGTAGGTGGACCAGCAAAATCACAATTAGTACATGAGGTTGATGCACTAGGAGGTGATATTGGCAAGGTTGCTGATAGGTAACTGCATACAATTTCTTACCTCAGTCATGTCTTTTCTTGTATATTTTTAGATTATGGGGCTAAGTCTTTTGTATATGTATAGATACGAATGTGGTTTACCTTGTTCTTAGCTGAGGCATAGAATCAGAGTTGTGAGACGGAGATCAAATTGAACGTTTACAGCTCTGCCTCAGTGAAACGTCTCTGATATATCGTCACTTACCCTTAGGGGATTGTTTTCCATTCTTGATCAAGCATCTTAAACCTATTTAGCTAGGTAGGTTGTGGTCTAGCCTCAGAGGCTTGTTTTAATCAAAATAATTTGTTTGACTTGCACCTGTGAAAGCATGAGGAATCAGAGTTATGAGAAGGAGATCAAATTGAGGGTATATCGCATTGCCGCAGTGCAATCTCTCTGATATATCTTCACTTGTCTTCTATAGAGAAGCAGGCGAGTCTTGTTTTACATATTTTGTCAAGTATCTAAAACTTACTGTATCCTACCCTACAGTCCTCTATTGTTATATATAGTTTTTGACTATAAAGAGCATCAGCACCCACCCTCCTTTACTTTGTTGACTTAGTCATATTGTTTCTTCTTTTTCCCCGTCACTGAACAACTTGTGATATGGGTTCAAATTTTACCGCTGATGTTATCTTCTTAGCAGTGCAGATGCTATTTACAGAAGCGTATCCTAAATGTCTCAAGGGGCCCTGCTGTAAGGTCATTACGTGCACAGACCGACAAAAGGGAATATGCCATGGAGATGAAAAAGATAGTGGAAAGGTCAGCTCTTACTGATCTTTTTCGGGGTGACAACTCTGAGTTTTGTGCCATGCTTTGCATATAATTCTCAAGCAGATTTATTCCGAAAATTCATATTTACTCAATACAAGTTGTGGCAAGAATACAATCTTGAATTACAAGGTGTAGATGTTTCTTATTAACAGTTATTCGTGGTTTCTTCTATTCTGGCTTATAACTGCAATTTTCCCTTGGTATGGCAGCACTGAAAATCTCTGTATTAGAGAGGCAATGGTAACAGATATCCTAGTTGGGAAGAATGACAATGTGGAAGGCGTAGCCACATTTTTTGGGATGAACTTTTATGCACCTTCTGTTATTCTCACCACTGGAACCTTTATGAGTGGGAAGATTTGGGTCGGTAGAAAGTCTATGCCAGCTGGAAGAGCTGGCGAGTCAGCTTCACAAGGATTGACAGAGAATTTGCAGCAACTTGGATTTGAAACAGATCGCTTAAAGACTGGTACTCCAGCGCGTGTGGATCGCCGGACTATAGATTTTTCCAATTTGGAGGCTCAATATGGAGACGAAGAGGTTTGTAATAGTTTCACTATACAATTATAAAATTAGCCTATTCAGGATCAGTATTGCATGGTTAAATAAGTTAAAGCAATTCAGTCAGCGCGTAGACAGTTAGGCAGCACAGAAAAGTTTTTCATGCATTTTCTTGGCGTGATTTGTTCGAGCGAACTCATTAGCTACATAGTTAATTTTTTTTGTCACCAATGGAACAATATATCATATCCTTCTCTGACATCTAACCAAAGGGTTTCATGAACCATTTCTATTTGAAGATGCTGAACGTTAAATATCTTTTCACAGGTCAGCTGGTTTAGTTTCGATCCAGATTTTCATATTGAGAGAGAACAAATGTGCTGCTACTTAACTCGTACGACAAAATTTACACACCAATTGATCAGGGATAATTTGCATGAGACCCCAACTTATGGTGGATGGGTCGAATCAAAAGGTCCTAGGTACTGCCCTTCCATCGAAGACAAGGTAAATTCTTTTGTGTGCATATGCTTTACCTCTTTCTTTGTATTATCTCTTTTTCTTGGACCAAGGGAAAGTTACGTCGGACATGGTTCATCGACCTTTCTTTTTGTATAGCTGATTGTCCTGATACACTTGTCAATGTTTATGACACATTGTGGAATCTAATTGTGAGCAGGACCGTGGAAACCCGACTTTGCGATGGTAGAGCTAATTGTTCTTGATACACTTGTCTAGTGTTTGTGATAGAATCAAGTAGATGTGAAAAAAGAATTCAAAGAAGACTTTGAGAGAGTTTAGGTTATGTAGAATAAACCCTTGGTTCCTTGGATATTTTTTTTTTCTTGGTTCAGCAAGTGTACGTTGTTTCTGAAGAAGTAATAAAGCAGTAATCGTTTCAAAATCGTTTTCAGTCTTATCATATTCCTTTGTTTCTATCTTGGTTGATATCACAGTAGCAAATAATATATGCTGATTTCCTGCAAACTGCTCAACGTATTTTTAATCATTTTTTACTTGCAAGTCCTGAAGGTGATTCTTTAATTCCTTAAGCAATCTTGCATTCACTATTACTACGCTTGGTACAAAGAATATGTTGAATCATCTTTCTCTAATACTACCTTTGATGAAGATTATTATTTCTTATATAAATTTACATTTTTATATATCCTGTTTGGTTTCAGATTGTTAGGTTCAAAGACAAAGAGTCGCATCAAATATTCCTCGAACCAGAGGGCCGAGATGTTCCTGAGATCTATGTGCAGGTTGATGCATGTCTTAGTTATGATTTTGTCTAAAACATATTCTTGTCTAGGAATATCTTTATTGATAGTTAGAGCAAGCCTGAAGTTTCTTTACTACTCAGAAGATGTCTGTAGTTTAATGTGAGGGCCTGTAAGTTAAGTTTTCATGACTGGAGCAGATATCCTATCTTGTTTGCTATTTAAGTCTTTCAAGCCGTTATCTATATTTTCTTATGAGTCATTTGTTAATGTAATGTGTTTTACTATCACTATCATTTTTTACCGATTGGTATTTTCATAGGGATTTTCAACTGGCCTGCCGGAGAATCTCCAGCTGCCACTTCTAAGAAGCTTGCCAGGACTCGAAAATTGTGCCATGCTAAGGCCTGCCTATGCTGTTGAGTATGATTATTTGCCAGCTCATCAGTGTTCCAAGTCCCTTATGACGAAGAAAATTGAAGGTCTTTTCTTCTCTGGTCAGATCAACGGCACAACTGGTTATGAAGAAGCTGCCGCACAGGTGACTGATCTGTACGAGACTTTAATTTCCTTAATGATGGACCTTGATTCATGATAATAATTTTTCTCAGATAATATGAAATAAAATACTGCGACAGACAATGGAAACTGCTGTTTAAACCTTGTTAGTACGTATCATTGAACCAATCTGTGTAATTTCTTTTAAATCTAGGGTATTATATCTGGAATTAATGCTGCTAGACATTCGGACGGTAAGAAACACATTGTACTTGAGAGGGAGAGCAGTTATATAGGTACGTTGATTGACGATTTAGTCACAAAGGACCTCAGAGAGCCATACCGCATGCTAACAAGGCAAGTTTCATCCCATTTCTTGTTCACATTCCTAATTCGATAATTTCGAAATCAATCCTCCACACTACTTCTGAATTATGGGTATGCTAAAGATATGATTCATAAATTATTTTATGAAAAATTACTTAGAACGAGACATGTACAAAGAAAATAAGTGTTTTACACGCCTTGTATATGGCACCCATTTGAGTGTGCCTGATGGTAATAATTGAAGTGCTTTCCGTCACCAATTTTTCTTCCTAATATATGTTTCTGAAGTTTGATTGGTTAAATTCTGATAACTTATCTGGCGTTCTATCGCTGTATATAATTTCGTTTGAACTTTTTGAATAAAAAAACGACTTTTTAACTTCTCTTGAAGCTGCTCTTTGGCCATTGACTTGTTTGACTTCCTATTTTTTCTGTTCATATGAACTATTTTGTTCCTGTGCTTGTAGTCTATTATCAATAAAGTTTTTGATCAGTGCTTATTTGTGCTTGATAAGGCGGGATAGTAAAATATGTTTTTCTTCTCAATGGCAGCCGTTCAGAACATCGGCTTCTTCTTCGATTTGATAATGCTGATAGTCGACTCACGCCTCTGGGACGTGAACTTGGATTAATAGATGATAGACGATGGAAGTTATACCAAGAGAAGCAAGCAAGGATTGCAGAAGAGAAGATCAGGCTTAAAACTGTCAAGATTTCAGGTGTGCTTCTCTCCTAAGTGAAATCTTTTTTGCTGTTGCTCCTTGCATCCATTTCAACATGGGATAGTTCTGTGCAAAAGCTATATGGTACATGAGTATTTATGCACAAGAAATTTGATAAACTACTTGCGTTTTCTTTACTGATTGTTAATTACACATAGAGCTTAGTGTCTCTCTTTGAATTAAGACCTGATGAAAACTATGCATTGTTTTGCAGCTGCAGGAGGTAAGTTAGCTGCTGAAGTTTCTAATGTGTCTTCTCAGCCAGTTAAAGAATCAGCGACGCTAGAGAGTCTATTAAAGAAGCCACATGTCCACTACAGCGTTCTTGAGAAGCATGGCTTTGGAAACGAAACATTATCTAGAATGGAGAAAGACTGTGTAGAGATCGATATAAAATATGAAGGTTTCATTCTGCGCCAGCAAAACCAACTGCAGCAGGTATGTTTTGTCTGCTTCATTGCTTGCGTGCTTGTATATATGGACATGAATTGGAAAATTTAATCATCTTATAGATGGTCCAACAACAACATAGACGACTTCCAGAGGATTTGGATTACTTTTCGATGACAACTCTATCTCATGAAGGACGTGAGAAACTTTCGAAGGTGTGTTAACTAGTAGTTTTTTATTATATAATTAAATGTGCTTTTATAGGTTATTGTCTTATGTTGTGGACAACTATAATTTTCAGGTGAGACCGCAGACGATTGGGCAAGCAAGCAGAGTGGGCGGAGTGAGTCCTGCTGACATAACAGCTCTGCTTATAACACTTGAATCGAACCGAAGAAGAAGTCAAGAGGAGAAGAGAGGGAAAATATTGGCGCATGCCTTGGTAGAATCCAATCCACATTTGGTAGAAAATTTGGAGCATATGGTTAATGAGTGATTAAGGACGTGAGAACCTTTCAAAGGTTTTCCACACTATTTCACTATATGCCAAGTTTGATCATCCAACACAAACTCCAGCATCGTCCATAGGCATGTTTTTATTTTTTTTGCAATCTGATAATATTGATACTCCAAAGAAATACATTGACTTACACATAAAAAGCTGTAAAACATAAACAACGAAATGAGAGAAAAGTAAGAAGAAACCAAGTGCAAAAGCTAAAATCTACAATGACAACTACCAAACTTTTACCACAAAACATGTTGACGCTGCAGCTGGCCGAGAGGCAAGAGAACCGATAAACCCATGCAACACTTCACTTCCTGTAAGCAAACCAAATCCAAACTAGACACAAATCGAACTCCACCAGCAAAATTGCAACAGCAAAGAAAGTAGAAAAGTGCAAGGACATGATCCAACAACCGCCCAAGACAAGAACTTTATGTAGAGAAGCCTCCAAATAGAATAGGGCTGAAGACGCGGAATCTTAAAAATAGACCGGAAAAACGCCAAAAAAGACCAACACCTTTTACATTCGGACACTCGTGACATAGCCTCAGAAAACCTAGAGACAAAAGGCTGATCACTTCCTCGCAAGAGAAAAGCTGAAGATCGACACCACTGCTTCGTCTTGAAACCAAAACCAAAACCAAAACCAAACCCAAAACTCACGAGAGTCAAAGGGGATCAGAAATTAGATTACTCCACAGCAGGATACCATCCAAAAAGTGATCCTGAAATCTGAAACCTTACAACTCCCAAGAAAACGAGCCAGGACGACAGTACAAAGCAACGCAAGGCTTCCACACCAAAACCCTAACATAGAATCTAAAAGCCTAACAAACAAAGGGGAAGGAGGCAATCACCCTGAACCGAAACTGAGACACCCAGATCCGGCAACAAGCCACCGCCCACGACCGAGGCCGCACCTCCACCAAGCCCAAAAGTTCCAAAGACAACGCCTGAAAACCCGAGCTGTCGAGAAAGGAAGCCACTAGACCGAAATCGGAAACCAACCTTCCATCACACCGAAAAACAACGACAAAAACAACAAAGGAAACGACAGCGAGGATCTCCTCACGGAAGCGGCACCAAAGCACCAACTACGAGAGAAAACTCCCAGACGACGAAAATTCTTGTTTAAATGAACCTAAATTTTGCGAATATAATTTGGTTTTTACTAGGAAAAATAATTCATTTCATGTTGCAAATAGAGAAAAGAGGTAAAGGAATTTGTGTTGTGTATCATTCTAATAGTTATATGATCATTTATATAGACGTACAAGAAAGGGTTACATTTGGAGAGAACATAAAATCTAGGATACAAGAAAATCTAGAACATTTTAGAAGGTGGACTTTATGGATTTATAATAGATATCACATAATAGTTTATACTACTTTCTCTTGATGTTCATTATACAAACTATTTTTTAAAGCGCGTAGGATGCGATCTCGTTAAAAACCTTGCTAAGAAAATCCAAAGAGGAAAACTATAGTTAAGAGAAAAAGAGTGCAGTGCGCATTAACTCTCCCTCATGATCATTTGAGATCTTTGAGATGATGCAATCCGGTATAATGAAATAACTTCTTGAAAGTAACGCCTTGGTAAATATGTCTGTTGAATCTTCATTTGAATAAATTTGTAGGATACATACATCGCCATTCTTCTGCAGTGCATGACTCTTACTAATGATTTGTCTTGATCATTCTATTTACTTGATCTTATTAAAGTATGACAAATACTTTAGAGGGGTGATAAACTTTTCATCTTTACATTTCTCTTTAGATGTCTATCATTTGTGTGTTTTTTGTTGCCTCATTAAAACCTTTCATGAAAAATCCAATGGGATAAAGACCATGATAAAAAAAAAAGAGTACAACCGCACACATCATCATATTTCTCCCCCTTGGAAGTATCTTCTTCATGAGATGCATTCCAATCATATATACCATCTTTTGGCAATCATTATAGGTATACGCTTAATGAATAAACTCATATGATTATCTTATAATCTCTTAAGTTATTAGACTTCTTGTCCATAACAACTTTTTCATATAAACAACCATTTCTTGTTCTTTTGAACTTCAAGTCCAAAATTCATTTTACTTAAAACATTCTAAAATTGTATAGAGACATACTCATACATAAGATGTTATTAATGCTCTTCTTTACTATTTTAGCTTTCTTTCTTATTATATTAAATCATATCTTTCAATCTTGAAATAGATAAATACATTGCTCAACTAGCAATTTAAGTATTATACTTAAGATCAAAAATATTGTGAGCATTCTTTATGTCAAATCCTACAAGGATCATTTGAGATAATATCTCTATCACTTAGATATCTCAATTTTGAATACTTGAAGACAATGTCGTCTTTTCCAAAGATTTTTCTTCCAAATTACAACTTGGGATAACTCTTCAAAAGATTTAATTATATTCAAATCTAGGATCTTCTTGATCCATAATCTTTTGGTAAATATACATGGGTATATTGGTTAATACATATGGGTATATTTGTTAACCTTGTAATATTCATACATATAAAACGTTTTGTCTTAATCCGATCGAATAATTAGAATCTTCAGGAACATAATTTTGACAATCTTAATCCTTTTGAAATTTGTATCCTTCAAGGATTATATCCTTTTGAGAATTTCACTATCCAGTGGGTCGTATAAGTCAAGTTCTTCTCTTATTGCCAGACTGATAAGAAACTTGAAAGTAGTTGCATCCACCACAGGAAGAGTTTGTCTCTTCATAGTCAGTTTCATATTTATCATTCTTTTATATAATTCTCCCTTATATCCCACTGGTTTGACACCCTTAGGGTGCATGGACAACTGGTCCAAATACTCATCTCTTTTCAAAAAATTTTAACTCTATGAATATTGCTTCTATTTAATTTGGCCATTCATTTTCTTTGTGTACACTTTGCAATAGATTTCATGATCCTCTTTCTCATTTATCATATCAACTGCTACATTGCATGCAAAAATATTTATGACGTTGATTTGCTTTTCGGTTCCATTTTATTCTACACATGACATAATTTGTTGAGATCATTCAAAATCTATCTCCACAGTCTGGTTATTGTCAAATTCTTCTCCTTTTCTTTTTTGAGGATATTTATGTTTGGAACCAATAAGTCTATCACGCTTCATGTCTTCCTCAAACTCTTTAATAGCTTGATATTGTCCTTCTTGAACATTAAATTTTATTGGAGCCTTTATAGCTGTTAAGCGTTTGGTGCGTCACCAGCTCCAATGGGTCGATTGGGCGTGCACCATGTGCTGGTCCTCTCTGACCTTGTTCACCTTGGACTCCTTGCTGTCCCTGAACACCAGCAACTCCTTGAGCACCTTGCGCTCCTGGTGGTCCATGAAATCGCTGATCATCTATACCATGCTCCATGCTGAGCTGATGAAACCTTTGTAGTCTCTCTCTTTCCCTTGTTGCTCTTAGTGCTCTTTCCACTTGCAGAATGTTGTGTTGATAATCCAGAAGGTTTTGATTGCCTTTAGACCTCAAGTTCATACACCTATAAGCAGAAGATCAGCTTGCAAATCAGTAATAAACAGAAAAAAATTACAGCTTGATCTTAAACAATCAACAAATCCCAATGCTTAAGCTAAACCCATATGGCAACGGCGCCAATTTAATAGCAGGAAAAGACTAGCTAAGCAAATCCTAACACACTCATGTCATTGCAGCATGTAAGGTATCAATCCATCTGAGTTCTTAAGGCACCAAGAATACAACTACTCACTTAAGTCAAGCTAGATTCAAGAAGGCAGTTGTGAACAAAACTAAACAAGTCTAAAGACTGAACTAAGCAAAGCAGGAAACTCAAATAGATAAAGTGAGGATCTAAGATGGGGGTTATTGATTAAGAGGAGATTAGAACCTAACTAGTGATGCTTCAAAACCATTCAAACAATGCTATTTTCTAGGCATAATATTAACAAACTATAACTAGCTCAATTTCTTAACACTAATCACTTTGCTAAGCACACATTCAAGATAAATCCCTTTACTCAAACACATGATCAGCAAGCATTCAGAACAGAACTCCAATCCTATAAAGTGAAAATGCATCTTAGACATCTAATTCCTTAGGCTAAGCATACAAATCCTCTAAGAGACTCTAAGCAGCATTTCATCAAACACTTACCAGGCGCAATAGAAAGCCAAGATACTAAATAAGCCTGGCCAAGACTAATCTAGTGTCAAGCACATCTAATAGAGAGAAGACAATCATATTAAGCACAAGACATCACTAATCTAGTCCTAAAACCCCTCTAATCTATCCCATCTCAAACCCTAAATAAGACTACTCACTAGCCATAGTCAAAACCACAAATTCCAAAGAGAAAAGATGGTTAAGCATGATTAGGAAGCAGAATAAAAAAGAATAGATCAAAGGCAAATACAGAAATTCACTAAATCAAACTAGTTCTTACAAAGCAAAGCTGAAAAAGGAAAAGTTCTAAGTGCAAGAACAGAAGAAAAAATATTAAGATCCAAGTTGCCTAACCATTTTAGGACTTTAGTATTTATAAGAGAACTATAAAACCCCTAGTAAACCAAGATTAAACCAAAAATAAGCTGACTCGGACAGACCATATCGGATGTGAACATCGATACACTTGTCGATATCATCTCTTCTTCTGGGTTGTATCGATGTCTCTTGGTCGATATGCACGTCGATACATAAGGCTTCCAAGTTGTATCGGTTTGGCTCTCCAGGGTGTGAAGTCGATACAATCGCCCTTTAGTTAAGGCTCATCGATCAAGCAAGTCCATATGGCACCTCGGTATTGTCCTGTCATGTGTATCGGTTTGAGATGTTGATACACTGCTCCATATGGACTCCATTCTGCTGCATCGAGGTGTCTAAGTCGATATGCTTCCTTCAGACCACGCCTTCACTGTATTGATGCTGAAGTGGTCGATACTCCGTATCGATCACATGATGTCGATATCATCAACGAT